CCGGCTTGTCACACCACGCTCGGTCCAACCCCCCCCCCCCCCCCCCCCCCCACCCACCCCTTCCCCAACAAGGCCACCACCACCCCACGCGCACGACCCACGCGCACCACGGGTGGCCATGTCCAGCAACAGCACCAACCACAGCCGGAGTGCGACACAGAGTAGCAAGCGTGTGTCGAACCTGCCGCAGGAGGCCTTCCTGGCTACCCTTGTGGCCCACCTAGGTCGCTCGCTGGCAGCCACGGGAGCGACTCTGTCCAACTCTGCCGAGGCCACAGAGGTTGTTCTCCTGGAGGAGTTTGTTCATCGCTTCTCCTCGACATACTCATTCCCTCCTCCACCTCCGCCTCATCACCATCATCAACATCATCAACATCATCAACATCATGAAAATCATCATCACCCGCTCGCGTTGTCAGACTCGCTCGCTGCCTCGCTTGGCCCGCTGCCAGAGCCTGGTGCTTCGCCTCCGCTGCCGTCACGAAAGGCTCCCGGGCATCAGGCTGATGATCGACGACATATCCACAATGGGGGCCAGGTGGTCGGGAAGAAGGAGAATGCGTTCCAGGGACAGGATGCTTTGCCATCGCCCACTCCTGGTGATGACGCTATCACGGACGACGACGACAACAGCAACAACGACAGCGAGTTCGCCTGGAGCTCGTCGGCCAGACCGAGCCCACTGGCAGACGCTTTTCAGCTCATCTTCTCGGCACTCTTCCACGAGCGACTCAAGCGAAGCGCGTGGTGCGCGAGCGCGTCGCGGGACTACCGACTGACGGTCCTGCAAGTCCTCCGCCTCCTCCTTCGCGACCCACGATTTACCCGCGCCTTTGTGGCCGACGATGGCATCGCCGTCCTCGGCACAAGGCTCGCCGAGATCTTCCCCGAGTACCACGCTGACGCGGGCGCGCCGTTCCTTGCTGAAACCGTGGTCCAGATGGCGTCCATTCTGAAGAACCTGGCGTCGGACCCGGAGCTCCGCAAACTGCTCATTGACGCCCATGTCCACACCACGTGCGTGCTTCTTCTTGACGCGCCCGACGCCGTTGCCGTCCAGTGCGTCCTCATTGTGCTCATCAACCTCGCACTCACGCCCGAGTACGCCCTGCTCATCGGTCGCCTTGACTCGATCAACAAGCTCCTCAACATTGTGCACAACTACAACTTGCCGGCCCAGCTCCTTGCCGCCGACCTCCTCGACGTCCTCTCCAAGCAGCGTGAGAACTGCATCTCCATCGTCGAAGCTCAGGGCCTCACTGTTCTCCTCTCGCTCCTCACCGCCGACGACGTTGCCCTCCTCGAGTCGCTCGTCATCATCCTCGGTACCCTTGCCGAGGACCCGCACATCTGCTCCGAGATTCGCCAGATGGGCGGCCTCTCCATGCTGCTCTCGCTCATCAACCCGGGGCGGGTCTACCCTGGCGCTATCGACGGGCCGACGAGCGCAAAGTCGCCCGTCCTCATTCCGCTCTTTGTCGCTGTCGCCAACACCCTCACCACCATGGCCCTCGAAGACGAGGCCGCCCACCAGCTCCGCGTCCACAACGGCGTCTACTACCTTGGCCTCATTCTTGTCGACGAGGCCTGGCTCGGCCCGCTCGACGGCCCGCGCCCGCCGCCGGGCTCGGACGTCTACGTCATGCACGCATACATCTTTCAGTCGCTCCGCTACCTCTTCTCCATCGAGCGCAACCGCAAGGTCTTCAAGCGCTTCTTCCCCTCGGTCCTCTTTGCGCCCTTTGTCGACGTCGGCGCCTACCAGGCCCAGCTCGACCCGTACTTTGCCCTCGTCGACGTCTACTACTCGCTCCCGGCCTCCGAGTACGTCACTCTCCGGGCTAATCTTGAGGCCATCAACACCAACAAGCCGCCGTCGCGGTATGTCAACGGCTACGCCATCCTCGAGCTCCTTGGTACTGGCTCGTTCGGCTCGGTCTACCTCGTCAAGAAAAAGGACGGCTACTCGACGTTTGCCATGAAGGAGCTCGACGTGACCGCGTCCATGGCCGGTCGCACAAGCTCACCCGAGGACGCCGCTTTTGCCACACAGGCCGGCGCCGTCGACGAGCTTGAGGAGGAAGTCTCCATCCTCTCCCAGCTCCGCCACCCCAACATTGTCCGCTACTACGACTCGTTCCGCGAGGGTGGTTTCCTCTACATCATCATGGAGCTCTGTGAGGGCGCCACCCTTCTCGAGTACCTCGAGTCGCTCCGCGAAAAGGGCCGCTCCATGCCCGAGAAGCGCATCTGGCAGATCTTTATCCAGCTCGTCCTCGCCTTCAAGTACCTGCACAAGACGGCCAAGGTCGTCCACCGGGATCTCAAGCCATCGAACATCATGGTCGATGCTAAGAACGTCATCAAGCTCGCAGACTTTGGTCTCGCCCGCCACCACAACAACACCATGATGAAGTCCGTCAAGGGCACGCCGGGCTACTTTTGCCCCGAAATCATGAAGGGCGAGCCGTACAACCACAAGGCCGACACCTGGGCCCTCGGCTGCGTCCTCTTCCAGATGGCCACTCTCCGTCCGCCCTTTGAGGGCTCCAACATCCTCGCCATTGGCCACAAGATCATCGGCGGCGTCTTTGACCGTGACGCTCTCACCTCGCACTCGCCGCTCATGATGCACCTTGTGACAAAACTAATCGAGCCGAACGTCTCGCGCCGCCTCGATATCATCCAGGTCTCCCAGGTCATCGCCCCGCTCCTTGTTGACCAGCTCTCAAAGGTCACCTACCGCTTCCAGCGCCTCGAGCGTGACAAGAAGGACGTCGAGCGCCAGCTCAAGGAGCTCCAGCGGAACCTCCACAAGACAAAGCACCAGCTCGGGCCGGGAACCGCCCCGCACCCGCACTCGCCGGCCTCGGCAGGCTCTGCCCTCTCGCCGCACTCGCCCATCGTCCCGGCCACTCGCTCTACCTCGGGTGAGGAGACGGTCGGCACGCCGAGCCAAAGTCAATTGCCCGTATCGTCCCGCTCCGGCCGCACGCCGTTGCGCGGCAATAGTTTGGTCACCCCGTCGGGCGGTCTGGGCACTGGGCTCAACCTCTCGACGCTCTCCATCTCGCCGTCGCGCGTCCGCGCCATCGACGATCCCATCACCCAGATGCTCAACCAGCTCCACAAGCTCGTGTACATCACACAGCTCCCGCCGACCGCCAACCGCGACCCGCGCCGCACCATCGTCGAAAAGTACAAGCGCGCGCTCTTTGCCAAGCCCGACAACTCGCTCAAGGCCGAGATGCAGAAGCTCCTCACAGGCTCTACAGAGGAGATCAAGCTCGACTTTGGCATGGACTGGACCACGCCTATGCTCCGCCGCGACTCGGTCGCCGGCGCCGTCTCGGACGACGACTCGGACAACGGTCGCCAGGCCGAGCCTGCTCCCTCGCTCTCTGTCACCTATCAGGAGCTGCAGGACATGATCGAGAAAATCCTCATGGAGACCGGCTTTCACTCGCCCGAGTAAACCTTCTTTACTCACCACGCGCCGCCGCGTGGTGGGCCAAACGGCACCGCCGGTGCCCCGTACGCCATGCCGTAGCCCGGAGTCTGCGGCTGCATCATCATTGGCGCTGCTGGCTGCTCCTTGAGCCGCTGCAGATAGTGGAGGTGGGTCTCGCCGCGCGGGCGGGCCGGGGCCGCCGGCCGCGGCGCAGGCCCGCCCGCGGGCATCCACATCGGCGGCATACCCGGGCCGCCGGCGAGCCGCGGCTGCGCCATCGTCGGCGGGCCGCGGCGGAGCGTTGTGTCGAGCGTGTTCGATACATGCCGCTGCGTCGGGTTGAGAGCCTGGAGCGAGGGAACTTGCTGCGGCGAAGGCGGGAGCCGCGGGTCGGCGAGCCCGCCGCGGGCCTGCGACGAGAGCACGGCCTGGCTGTGGTAGGCCGCAGGCGGCGGGGCGTGCGGTGGCACAAAGGTCTGCGTTCCCGAGTAGTTGGCAAAGTGCGCCTGCAGCTGCTGCACCCGCTCGCCCTGCTTCTCGCGCTTCCACTGCTCGAGCGCGCCCTCAATGCCTGCAATGGCATCGACCGCCGACTGGACTCTCGCCGAGTACTGCGGCGGGGCCGGAGCTGCGGCCGGAGCGGCAGGAGCGTCTGCCGACGGCCCGTCGCTCGTGCCGGCGGCGGCGCCGTGAAGAGCAAACGACTGCTCGTCGACGGCACCAAAGACGGTTGTCGACGACGCACGCGGAATGGGGCCACCGTCGTAGGCCGAGTCGGCAGCAGCAGTAGAGAAGGTCTCTGCATCAGCGGCCGAGCCGGCGAGGACGCGGCGGATCTTGTCTGTGACCTCGACGCGCTCGACGAGGCAGATGCGGAGCTTGAGATGGCCAACAGCCCCATCGTCATGGGTCCTCACACTGTGAGCCGAGGCAGGCGGTGGCGTGAGGTAGAACCAGACGTACTGAGTCGGAGAGAGCCGTGACTTGATGTCGGCCAAGGTGAACGATCGCTCGCCGATGATCTCCTTGCCCGCCCTCAGCGCCACCGTCACGCCCGCAGCGCCATCTGCCGGCACCACTAGCTGCGCCGACCAGACTGGCGCTACTCCGCCACGAGCCGACGGAGCGACAGCCTTTGGCGGACCCGACACCGCCAGCTTCCGACCATGACCACCACGACGATGACCACCACGATGACCGGACTGACGGCGATGACCACGATGGTCACTTCCTCCAGCACCTCCACTGTTTCCCCTCCGCCTCGAGCTGCCGAAGCCGGCGGCCAGAGCACTCCGTGACTGGCCGTCCTCCTGGCCGTCCTCCTGCCCGTGGTGGTCATCGTGGCCCTGGCCAGACTCGGTCGTCACCACCACCTCGAGCTGCTCGGCCGTGCCCGTCGGGCAGAGAATGCCCCTGCCCTCCATGGCAGAGACAAGCACTTCCACTTGGCCCATAGCTGTGTATGTATGTGGGTCTGGATGGGTGGGTGGGTGGGTGGAGTGGTTGCCTGCCTGTCTCCGGCTCTGTGTCGCCTCCGCTGCCTGGTGCGCCCCCCTCCCCTCCCGCCCAACGGCTGGCGTGCGGGTCGGCGAAAGGGGGGGGAGGGGGTGTGACGATTATTTGTTGGGGGAATAATCGTTGGAGTGGGAGGGGGGTGTGACGATTATTTGTTGGGGGAATAATCGTTGGAGTGGGAGGGGGTGTGACGATTATTTGTTGGGGGAATAATCGTTGGAGTGGGAGGGGGGGTGACGATTATTTGTTGGGGGAATAATCGTTGGAGTGTGAGGGGGGGGTGACGATTATTTGTTGGGGGAATAATCGTTGGAGGTGGGGAAACAGGGGAATAATGGCTGTCGTGTCGAACAATGATTGACATTCGCAGTGTCAACGGCCAAACGTCATCATGGATAGCAGCAGCATGTAGCCATCCACAGAGCGTGATATCCTACCCACCCACACCATACTACATCCACATACCATCTACTACTATTTCTCATACCACAGCAATTTGCAATGACATCGACAATAGCCTTCGCCAGAACCAGCCGTTCTTGTGCCCCTCCCCCCCCCCTTCCGGCACACTTCCGCTTGCCCCGACTGCGGGAGACCGATCGAGCAGGGACTCGGGGGGAGGGGGGGGGGGGGGGGGGGGGGGAGTTGCCACAAGCGAGGGCAGGGCAGGAGAGCCACCACCACACCCCACTCTCGGCAGCAGAGGGAGCAAGAGACGGCGACTCGAGCTACACCTTTTATCCACGGCTGGACCTTCTCAGCCAACCGCAGTAGCTCGCCCCGTGCCGTGTACCCCCCCCCCCTCTCTCTTTCCTGGGAGAGTGCCAACCGAGTCAAACCGCTGCTCGCTGCGCCAGACCGGGAAGGCCGACAAGCGCCAGCAGAGCATACACCTGCTGACAGAGTCAGAGGACAAAGCGAGCAAGAGAGAGAGAGAGAGGAGACAGAGACCGACTAGAGGTCCTCACTGCTCCGTCAGCTCACGTAGATCGCTCGCAAGGGAATCGGCTGCACAGACGACCGAATTAAGTCCGTTGACGTTGCGCCACTGCTGCCGACCGACCGTCCTTGCTGTCCACCGCGACCATCGTCTTGCTCATCCGGCTACAGACTCGTTCATCGGCATCTGTACCTGAGCTAAGTCTGCTTGTTGACGTTCTACTCTGGTGCTGAGTCTGAGCTGTGTCCTCCTGACATCAAGATCGAGATCGAGATCGAGACAGAGCGCTTCGCTGAGACAACAGCAGCGCCAATCACTGCTACGCTCACTGCTGCAATCACATCCAAAAGCATTTAACTATGGGGTGCGGATCATCGTCAAACGTGCCACCGGAGAACGAGCCGAAGAGGGAGACTGCAGAGGCTGGCAAGGCAGGCGAGGCGTCTGGAGACGCAAGTGCCGATGGGAGGCAGAGCAAGCACAGGTCGAGTGGAGGTAGCCGTGAGAAGGCCAAGGGCAAGGCCAAGGGCAAGGCCAAGGGCAACGGCAACGGCAAGAGTAGGGATAAGAGTCGCGATCAAAGTGGCGACGGGTCCGCGAGCGGAACAAGCAGCGATGAAGGAGGCCGCTCGTCGGACAAGGGGAAGAAGCGGTCGCGGAAGCGGGTGGGCAAGGACGCGGCATCACCGGACAAGGGTAAGCAAGAGGTGTCTGACCCGTGCTCGAGCGACGGGGAAAAGTCAGGCAGCGGGCGAAAGTCGGGCAAAGGCGGGCGGCGGAAGCGCGGGAGCGGGCGTAAGGGTCCGCCGGGGGCTCGGCCGGCGCTGCCGTCAGGCAAGCTGATGCCTGCACTGCCGGGCGGCGGCAAGGTTGGGAGCAAGCGTAGGGGCTCGGGCGGCAAGGGCGGAGTGGACATCAAGCAGATCACCAAAGCCATCATGAACGACAACCTGACGGCGGTGCAGAAGCTGCTCAACTCGCCGGCGGCCAAGGTTGACGACCTGTACAGCTGCTCGTCGGTGCCCAACTCGACGCTCGCCTTTGAGGGCGCGACGTTGCTGCATCTTGCGGTCTTCCTCGGCAAGTTCAACATTGCCAAGTTTGTGCTGATCAAGAACGCCGACCTCAACGTCCGCTGCGACCGCATCTCCGACTCCAAGTCGCGGTTCCACTCGGTCACCGCGTTCCACATGGTTGTTGCCCTCTGCTCGCTCGAAATGATCGACCTCTTCCTCCGGTCGGGCGCCATCCTCAACGAGATGTGCGACGAGTACGTGACGTACAAGTACTTTTACTACGCCAACGTCTCGGTCCTGCACCTCGCGTGTTTTCGCAAGGACGCCAACGCTGTCGTTGACCTACTCCTCACAAAGGCTTCAGAGTACGACGGCATTCTGGAGCTGCTCGCCGGCGAGATCCGGCCGCACAACGAGAAGCACTCGACTGACAAGTCCATTGTCAACCTTTCGCAGTCCAACGCCAAGAACATCTTCCGCGACGTCACCTGCCTCCACATCGCCGTCGCCCTCAACCGCAAGGCGCTCGTCAAGGCCTTTATGAAGAACGGCGCGCGGACAGACGCCGTCTGCGGTGAGGTTTCCTTCAAGTACGAGCTCAACCGTCGAAACAAGGAGCTGGCCAACGCCAACAGGCCGTCAGACCAGAAGGAGATCACCCACGGCCTCCACTCGTACAAGGACAAGACCGTGACCCAGCTCGCCTTTCTCACCGAGCGCACCACTCTCATGCCCATTCTCAAGGATTGGAAGTCGAACCGTTAAACCCGTGTGTGTGCGCCTCCTCCTCCTCCATCGGCTGCCGTTTTCTCGCGCATACTTCTCTCTCGAAGCGGAAGTACTCGATCGACGATGAGCGCCGCCGGGACAAACGCAGGCGGGAGCGATGGCGATGGCGGAGCAGTAGACTCGGCGGGGAAGAGGAGGGCAAGTGGATGGACGGGACCGATTGCCATGCAGACACGTGTTGTGCACGCGGACGATGAGCTGGCGCATGCACTCTACCGCGGCGGAAGCGGCGACATCGCGCCGCCGTTGCACGCCTCGACCACTTTTTCCGTGGATAATCCGCTCGGCTTTGCCTACGCGCGCACCACTGGCACGCCCGTCACCGCACGGGTGGAAGCCGTCCTGAGCGAGCTTGAAGGCGGCTTCCCTGCTGTCGTCTTTGCCTCGGGCCTGGCCGCCACCCACGCCGCCTTGGAGGCTCTAACCGACCTGGTGGCGGCCAGGGAGGAGGAGGCAGGGGCTGGGGAGGGGCAGGGAGCTGGGGAGGGGCAAGGGGGAGTCGCCGATGGTGTGACCGTCATCATGCAGCACGGATACCATGGCTCGCAGCTGGTGGCGCGTGCGCGGTGCGGCGGGAGGAAGATGCGGCTGGTGGTGGTGGAGGACATCGAGGATGCCCTGGATGCCGGCGAGCTGGTCCTTGATCGTCGATGCGTGGTATGGGCAGAGACACCGTCGAACCCGTTCAACACCGTAGTTGACGTCGAGGCGCTCGCAGAGAGAGTCCACCTTGCCGGCGGGCTGCTTGCTGTCGATGCCACCTTTGCCACGCCGTACACTCTCCGGCCGCTGGCAGTCGGCGCCGACATGACCGTTCACTCGGCCACAAAGTACCTCGGCGGGCACTCGGACGTGCTTGCAGGCGTGGCTGCTGCCGCCGATCCCGAGCTAGTGGCTGGCTTGCAGCGATCGCGACTCCACGGCGGAGCCTGCCTCGGGGCGCTCGAGACCTGGCTTCTGTTGCGCTCGCTGAGGACCTTCCCGCTGCGGATCAAGAGCCAGTGCGCGTCGGCGACGGCGATGGCGGCGGCCTTGGCCGATCATCCGCGTGTGGCCACCGTCTGGCATGCATCGCTGGAGAGTCATCCGAGCCACGCCCGCGCGGTGCGGTCAATGACCAGCGGCTTTGGAGCCGTTGTCACCATCGACGTTGGGTCCGGGCCTGCAGCCGAGGCCTTTGTGGCGCACCTGAAGCTCTTTGCCAACGCCACCTCGCTCGGCGGCGTCGAGTCGATGGCGGACATCCGCAGGCGGTGGGACGCGACCATCGAGCCGGGCGTCGTCCGCCTCTCTGTTGGCCTTGAGGACGCCGACGATCTCATCGCGGACGTGCTGGGGGCACTCGACGCGCTCAATGACAGCACAGCGTTTACTCCGAGTCCGAGTCGGACGACGAGCCCGAGCGGCTCGGGGCCGGCGATGCGAGGAACTCTTCCTTGAAGCCGTGCTCTGTGACCCAGCGCCAGAACTCGTCAAACTCGATTAAACCCGAGCCGTTGTCGTCGAGCTCCTCGATGACGTCTGTCACGGCGTCCTCGGTCAAGTTCATCAGCTCGGTCTTGCCCTTGATCACGCCAATGTCGTGGAAGAGCGATCGCAGCTCGCTCCGGTCGATGCCGCCCGAGCCGTCGGCGTCGTAAAAGTTGAACATGAACTTGAACAGCTTGTGCTCGACTTCGTTGTCGTCAAGCTGGACCTTACCGACCTTGAGCAGCATGGAGAAGACTGTCGGTCAGTGCGGGAAGGCACCAGCATGTCCATCACCCGCGAGTGGCAAGCCAACAAAATCACAATCACCAAGTAGAACACGATCACCACGTCCATCACGATCACCACGTCCATCACGATCACCACGTCCATGACAATCACCACGTCCATGACAATCACCACGTCCATGACAATCACCACGTCCATCACGATCACCACGTCCATTACAATCACCACGTCCATCACGATCACCACGTCCACCCGCCCCATGCCCAGCCCCCCCATCGACATGAGTCCGGAACGGAGAT